CTCTCTCTCTCTCTTGCACGCGTCACACACACACACACACACACTTTACACATTCTAAAACCACGCCGGACGTCGTCTTCCTTAACCGCCGCCGTCGTCTCCCTCAATCGCCGCCTTCCTGTCTCATGACCTCATTCCCTTCAGCTACGCTGGATATCGATGCCACAAAGATGCGACTCAACATGGCGGTGCCGCTGCTGGCACTCAAACTTGCACGGCGACTCACCTGTCGCCCTTCCCGCCGGCGACCACTACTCCGCCGCCAACGTCGTGCATCCTGCCACCGTCAGAACTGCCATTTATGCCGTCTACGAGTCTAGCAAAAAACACACACGACCGAATTGTCCGCCTTCATAAGAGCAGTGCACCGTCATTCAAGTCGTCGTCTCTGGTGTCATCCTCCACCGCCAAGCTCGCCACAAACCTCCACGATTCAGATGCAGTGGCGTCGGAAAATCGACCTTCCAGCTCGAAGGTCGAGCTTCAATGTTTTTGTAATAAAAAGAAAACATAGTCAGAGACGTCGCTGGAAAGCGGCCGCTGAAGACAGCGACGCCGACAGTCGCCAAGCAGAGAAGCTGACGCGCGGGGGTGGTGGGAGCTGAGAACTAACAGTTTGGGCTTGTGTATAATTTTTAAAAACTAGATAATGTTTAAGGATTAAACTATAATTTATGAATTTAAATACTTTTTAATTGGTTCATGTGCCAAATGTGTGATTTATAGAAAGTTTAATAAAGTCATATTAATGATAAATAAAATGCAAAAATATATTGTGTATATTCAACATTAAATATTGTCACACTGCGAATGCACAATACTGATAAACGAAGCGCACATTAATGACTGATTGAATGCACAATAGAAACCTAATGCGAGCGAACTAAAATTTTTGATTTGATATTTTGTATATCGATTACATTATATGTTGTAAATTTAAGATTTCAATTCTCTCGGTTAAAAAATAATATAATAAATAATTAAAAAATATAAATATACTATATAATTTTTTATAATATACATAATATTTTATTTCGATTATTAAAGTTAATTCAATTGACCAACTAATGAAGAAAAAAAGATATATTGCATCACAAAATGCATAATATTACTAAATAAGATGCACATTAGAATGTATCAGACAACATAATATCAAATGCACAATAATTCGGTCAGTATACATAGTGCTTGAATCTGTATACAATAATGTCAGCCGAGTTGCACATTAACGTGTATCAGACAACATAATGTTAGACGAAATGCACATTACATGTGTAAGTGCACAACATTAATTTAGGATTTCATATATTATATTTTTTCAAACAAAAAAATATTAAATATTAAATAAATTTATTAAATATACTAAATATATTATTATTAATAGTAATAATTTAGGATTATCCTGTTAGCCAAATGAGTAAACCAAATAATATACCTCAATTTCAATTTTGGTTTGGGTAAAAAATTCGGTCAATAATCATAGCGCTTGAATTTGTGCAGAATAATGTTAGTCGAGTTGCACATTAACTTGTATCGAACTGCATATTAGTGACCAAAACCTACCAAATGAAGTTTTACGGTTCGAATATTTATATTTCGATTCAATTATATATATTTACTGTTTTTTTAATATTTCAGTTCGATGTCGGCATTAATATTTAAAAGAAAAAATAACCGAACATACCAAAGTATATATAAAAATTATTTTCCATTTCATATACTTTTAATTTTTTAATATGTATGTTCACGTAATATTGTGCCATTTTCATATTATTATGTGCAAATATTAAGCAACTATACACATGACATGTGCAAATATATTAAATTTTGAAATTTACAAATAGGTCCCCATGTTTGTTTAATTTCAAAAAATATAACCCCAAAATCCAAATCAAACTTCATAATCTGAAAATCAGATTTCCTTTCTTATTCCCAGCAAACCGACCAACCACCACCCTCTCCCGTCGGCGACCAACCGACTCAGTCAGATTGACCACCATCTGTTCGCCGCCGCACCACTAC